AAGATCAGGGGTGTGGCAGAAAGACAGCAGTAAGGAGGAGCCAAGGAGTAGCAGTAGAAAGGCTGCAGAAAGAGTCAGGAGCCCAGAGGAGGGGGCTAAGGAGATGAGGGGGTGGGGGCAGAAAGCAGACGTCAGAGCATTGCTGGAGAGCAGGAAAAGAGGTGAAAGGAGACAATTTTTGGAAAAGAAATTTTTCGGTGGCTACTCGGATTCGAACCCTGGACATTTGAATGAGAGGCCAACCCCTTAACATATAGGCCACGAGAGCCCCGTCGCGCGGGATTAAACCTAGCGAGCATAATTTTAAAGACGATTATCACAGCTAAAAACTTGTTTCATTTTCGGAATCAGTGAAACGGTGAAAGTGACTTTCGGGGGACCTGATTTGATGCGATAATATGTACACTTAGATATAGATTCTAAGAAGATCTAAACTATTTTTAATTGAAAACTGAAATAAGGTTCAAGCTCACTTACTGCTGTGTGCATCTGACATCAAGGCCTTTATCATACACTGCACGGTCACTGCACAGTGTCAGGAGAAAAACACGTGTGTCCTCGGTCACCCACTGATTAGTCTCTCGGAATCACAACCGTAAGGTCTTGGGTTTGAACCCCGTTGGAGACCGACGTGTTGTCGTTACGAAAGGCATTTCACTGTATGAATTGGTAGCGTTTATGCACACAAGACAAAAAAGCAACTATAGATCAAGATCTTCCCTAGATCTTGATCTACAACAGTTCCCCGGGTCACGCGGGGGTAACCGGCAACGAGAGAGCAGACAAGCTGGCTGGAGAAGCAAAAGTGGGAGGGAATTTGACACTGGACCCACCAACCGTCCTAACCGCTATAAGGGAAAATTTGAGGAAGAATAGGCGGATAGCGGTTCCCACACTCTAGGGAGATTGAAGGAGAAGGGGATCCAAAGAGGAGAGTGGAAACACAGCCATCTGTGCGGACCAGTCCGACGAATCTCCAACCAGATCATGATGGAAACTATAAGCAGACAGACTCTGGGATGGATCCTGAAGAAGGGGGTTGGGGGGAGCAGAGATGGACATGTTCCGACTGCAGTGACCTCAACACAGTGGACAGAAGTTTTTCTCGTGCTCGGCGAGTCAACAGTTGAGGAAGGAAAAAAAGCGTTCCAAAACTGGCGGCAGTCACGGGGTATGCGAGGGCTCACCACAAATGTTTCTCACTTCACCCAGGTGCAAATTGGTTCCCAGCAAAAGATAAAGAAAGATCTTGCATATTGTTTGTGTTTGAGCGTGCGTTAACCGCAGCTTGCACTGTATGCTTCCGTTCACGTAAAAAATGTTCTCGCTCATATTACTTTACCTATGCCCACGTAGTTTTAGTTTTAGTTAAGCTTTTACGGCGCTCGCAAGTTCATATGATCGCCAAGGGGTGGGTGTCAACAGAGAAGTCCATACAGGGAATCAGGCTTACTCTACTCACCTCTCTAGCCTCAGCAGCACAAAGTCTGCTTCGACTATCAAGGCACCCCGGAAATAGCAGGTCACAAGAGAGAGAGAGAGAGAGAGAGAGAGAGAGAGAGAGAGAGAGAGAGAGAGAGAGAGAGAGAGAAACTTACAAAAGAAGTAGAGGAAAATGGCTATAGTAAGGATGAGGAAAGAAAAAGCAGAAGTTCCGCGTATGCAGTTCAGGCACGGTTATGAAACGGATATTGATGAATCTGCAATTCTAGGGAGCATAATAAGTACATGGTAATACCCCCCCCCCCCCCTTTGGTAATGGCCTATAGACACTTGAGTCAGCAGCACTGCCCCGGGAGTTACTCCAAGCTTTGCATGACACTTCAGTGAGCAGCACCGCCCCGGGGGTTACTCCAAACTTTGCATGACACTTCAGTGAGCAGCACCGCCCCGGGGGTTACTCCAAGCTTTGCATGACACTTCAGTGAGCAGCACCGCCCCGGGGGTTACTCCAAACTTTGCATGACACTTCAGTGAGCAGCACCGCCCCGGGGGTTACTCCAAACTTTGCATGACACTTCAGTGAGCAGCACCGCCCCGGGGGTTACTCCAAACTTTGCATGACACTTGAGTGAGCAGCACCGCCCCGGGGGTTACTCCAAGCTTTGCATGACACTTATGCAGGTCGGCGTCGAAACAAATCTTTTGTTTTGTTTTGTTTTGGTAAGTGTTTTACAGAGCTCGCAACTGCATAAGGTCATATGAGCGTGCGGGACACAAAAAATTTTCAGTTTGAATTTTGCCCGGGTGACGGCCGAAGCCTACTCTTATCGATTTTGGACCACCAAGGAATATCTTTAACGTGCTCAACTTGCACACGGGACCTCCGAGATTTTTCGCCCTTGTCCGAGAAGGCTAGGTGTAGATCATTCAACCAGAAGATCAGGAGTGTGGCTTAAAGACAACAGTAAGAAGGAACCAAGGAGTAGCTGTAGAAAGGCTGCAGAAAGAGTCAGGAGCCCTGAGGAGGGGGTAAAGAAGGTAAGAGGGTGGGGGCAGAAAGTGGAGACGAAAGTAGACGACAGAACATTGCTCGAGAGCTGGAAAGGAGGCGAAAGGAGACAATCTAGAGAAGAAAAATTTCCGTCGCTATCCAGATTCGAACCCGGGACCTATTGAATGAGATGCGAACACCTAACCTCTAGGCCACGAGAGCCCCCAACAAATCTTTTTTTTTTAAATCTTGATCTAGATTATAAAGAAGATTTTTTAAATTTTATTGAGACCCTTTATTAAAAAACACTTTGCATGGCACTTCTGCAGGCAATTTACCAATCAAAAATATGTATTTTTGAAATATCTTGATCCAGTTATTTTTAAAAGTTTCTCTGATTGGGTCCTATATTAAAATCACTCTTCTGGTTCACTAAAACAAACATTTACAGTAACCTGACCTATAAGCTGCTCATTTTAAAACAAAGGCACCACCCTGCCCTCACATTTTCCTATAAGCTTGTAGATTTCATCCACGACCGTGTATACTATATTTTTATGTCCATGTGAGTCTCAAAAAGTACTCATCCGTCTGTTAAATTGGACCGTGCTTCTGGGCCTTACATCACGTGTGGAGTTGAGGAAAACAGGTAAACTTTTTTATGTTTCAGTTGTGAACTATAAATCCCCTAATATTTTTACATGTTTGAAGGGCCCATACATGTTTTAAAAAAGCATCAAAACTTTGCAGATTTGAATCAAAATTTTGACAGATCAAACCCGTGTGATATTTTTTGACGAATCGTCAATTTTTTTTATGCGTATGTAGGCTCCTGTGGAAACTTTAGATCAAACTGTTATATTTCGCAGGTGATCGCAGAGAAGACAGGACTGATGCGACAATTTCGAAGATTTCGACAATACATGTACTGAATTTTGATGGGAAAAAACAACAACAAAAAAACAACACTGAAAGGTTTGTGTCCAATTATGCATCAACATTTTGTATCTAAAACTTCCTATCAAAATTGTGATGCAACGTGTATGGGACCCTTTAGGCTAACATCAAGGAAATGGTTTCAAAACATTAGTTTGTAGTGACCTTCATTAACGTGCTTTTAGATTCTGTTGATCGTGCAACTTTTAGAGCCACATGAAAAGGCCAGAGATATTAAAAAGGACGATTTATTTTTATTCTGTTTTTATCGCAGTAATAAAGCTAGGCTTATGCCTGAAAGATAACTCGCAGGGTTTTTTTTTCCAAAGAAAAGTCTTGGGAATTTTTGTACGTGTCTTCCAGGGGTATCAGAAAGTCTAGTTTTCCAATAATCCAATACAACAAAGCCCCTCAAAGGGGCTCTCGTGGCCTAGAAGTTAAGGTGTTGACCTCTCATTCAAAAGTCCAGGGTTCGAATCCGGGTAGCGACTGGAAAATTTTCTTCTCTAAAATTGTCTGCTTTCACCTCCTCTCTAGCAATGTTCTGTCGTCTGCGTTCGTATCCTCTTTCTGCCCACATCCCCTCACCTCCTTTGTCCCCTCATCTGGGCTCCTGACTGTTTCTGCAGCCTTTCTATTGCTACTGCATGGCTTTTTCTTACTGCTGTCTTTTAGCCACACCCTAATCCTCTGCTAGGAAAGATTTACACGTATCCGTCTCGGACAAGGGCGAAAAATCTCAGAGGGCCCGTGTTCAAGTTGAGCACGTTAAAGATCCCTTGGTGGTCTAAAATCGGGTAGGCTTCGGCCGCCACCCGGTCAAAATTCAAAATTTCCAAAAACCTGAAAGAGTTGAATGTGTCCCGCGCGCTCATATAACCTTATGCAGTTGCGAGAGCTTAAAACACTTCCCAACC